CATTGCTGTTCTGTTGTAAGTAATCTTAAAGATTCCTAAATGCATCTACTTTCGGAAGGCCAAATAAAGTGCTTTTGCTTTCGCCTAGAAACACACAGCGTCTCCCTGACATGGCTGCTTCAACACTAACTGCGGTTACTGAAACCACACCTTCTTTCTTTGCGTGCACCTTTGGGCGGCATTATGCAAATATTTCCACATAGTGAGGTAGATATGTGGGGGCGTGTTAGAACGAGCCGCTTTAGGGGGGTGTGGCAGAGTCTTAACTTTGATAAATAATATCTCTTTGGTTTTGAGACTTTAGTCTTTGCAACTTCAGGGATCTTATCTATGCACAATCAGCTTGTAACACTCCAAAGAGAAAGGAAAACTTGAAATCGCATCATATGACCCCTTTAATATCCTAATGATTTTTGGCATAAAAGAAAAATCGATAATTTTGACCCATACAATGTATTGTTGGCTATTGCTACAAATATACCTGTGCTACTTATGACTGGTTTTGTGCTCCAAGGTCACATATTTTATTGATAAGGTGTTATAACTTGTTTTTAGCATATTGTTATGTGGCTGTTAGGGTGTGGTTGTACAGGTGTAAATTTGGACTCACGGCCAGATGCAATGGGCTTCTGGTTTGGCTGTTCTCCATCTCATCTTGTTGGTTCTCATCTCTGTCCAAAAGCTGAAATCAGATTTCATCTGAATTACAGCTGTTCTCATTAAACTCAATCAAAAGCTATTCGGAATTAAACTGGAACACATTCATTCTTGCACTATAAACATATGCACTGCACCAGCAGGTGGCATACAATAGGTTCAACAGACTGCAGGCATGTTTTTACGACACATGAATGAAACCACAAACTGGACTAAATTCATTTGCATGTTAGGTTACACATTTAAATCTAATATAGTTGTGACAGTAGAGTGCAGATGGAGGAAGTGCCCCAAGGCACTCGCTGGACATATTTGTGTCCTCACCAGTTTCAGACAGTGTCTGTGGCCGTACGCTGCAGCATAATGAACAGCACTGTAGCCTTGTTTATCTTTGAGTGATGGGGCAGCACCATTCTGCAACAGGAACTCAAGACACCTGCACACACAAATATAAATATATATTGAAACACACACATACATATATTAAAAAATGAAACCATAAGAAGTGCAAAAAAAAGATCATGTCAAGTTATGTATATGCACTACTGTGGAAGTGGAGAGAGGGAAAATACACTTAGGTTGTTCCAGACATGAAATGATGAGGTTACAGACACACGCAGACACAAACACCCAATGTTTTGGCAGCAGAGCAGCACACATGTAAACAGCACGAGTGACGGTGAGACAAGGAGGGGGGACACAGAATTGAGGCTGAGCAGACGTGGGCCGCTCTGCTCTTCAACTCCAGAGAACTCACAGGGCTGCCTCCTTCTCCCTCTCAGCTTGAACTCCGTCACTCTCTGGTTCCAGGACCACACGCCGCCTGCAGTGAAATCACACACACCTCACAAATCTTACTCAACAATAACTCTTAACAATTAGTAAAAAACTAAAGTTGTACAAAATAAATTTATATTTCGGAATATTATATTTTGTAATTAACGAGTAAATACTTATATAAATCAATAGTTTATTAATAATATATGTATTATGCAATAAAAAATATTATGGTTACCATCTCATTACTCATTCACAAAATTCTCTATTCTGGTGAATTCTGGCAGCTAAGCTAATTAAACTAAGCACAAAGGTGTTTCCGTATGCCATATCAAGTTGACGTCAACCCCTTGTCTTTGCACATAAACTACCCCAATGACAGGAGACTTAAAAATAGCCTGTGGTTGCCATGGTAACACAGATATATGTGTTAGTGTAGCTGCTAGCAGTCTCTGGAGATGGGGACTGGCACTGCACTCGATTTCACCTGCTGAAGGACTGCAGCTGCCTGTGTCTACCTCACTTAATTGGGTCAGACATGCATTTACAACGGTCAATTACATGTTGTTTGGCCACAGCTAGCTCCATTTCTGCACTGTAAACTACTCATGTGGGGATAGTGGATTTTTTTACTCCACCGCCCCACCGCTAAAAGTATAAACTACGATTAGGGTGAAGGATGGTTTAGACTTATGTGCTGCAGTTTTCCAATGAAACCCCTTTTAATGTCTTGCTCCAATATAAGTCTATTAAACAATGTAATGTTCATTTTTGCAAACTGAGGGGCAAATCCACTTTTCTACTGTATCCTCTGAATGGAGGAGGAATGTCTGTTTATTTTTTATTTTTTTTATTAGGGCTTCCCTCGACTAAAGATTTTTCTGGTTGACTAGTAGTCATTCATCAGTCAAGCGATTTTTTGACAAATCACTCGTTTATTAATAAACCATTTAAATCATAATAATGAGCCTGTAATTGCCTAATAAGCGCTCAAGTGCACACATATAGCTTGCCACAGCACACAGCACAAAAACAGTAAGGAGGCGGCATTAACATTTTAATAATTTATTGATAAACTAGTGCTTTCTTTGTGTTTCGGCTTAAGAGATGAAGTCAGCGATACTGAATCTTCATCTCCGCAGAAGTGATGCACCTGTATCCATGTTTCACATGGATTACATAATCTGAGAATATTTGTTTTCCACTTGAATTGATCATTTGAAAGTAGAGATTTTTCTCTCTATAGATATATTTTTTTATGTCTGTAAGGCAAGTATACACAAAGATTCGGTTGTTTTTTTGTTTTGTTTTGTTTTTGACGTGCTCAAGTTCACAGAGACTGAGACAACAGAAAGCCCATCCTGTTTGCTTCCATTATTTTGCAAAAGTGCAATGTTTTGTTGTTATGTTGCACACAAATAAACAAAAGTCTTTACAGATTCGAAGGATGTATTATTCTTATCTTTATGACCAAAAATGACGGAGTATTTTAAGAGCAAGTGACCACACTGGCGCCTCCATCTGTCTTGCAGTGAGTGTTAACGATCTGTCCGTCACAGACTGCATGACTTCGCCACTTCCTGTGGATTTTTTTTTTTCTGCGACTAAACGACTAATAAAATTTTGGTCGACCAAGCCTCTTCTCGTCGACTAAAAGCTTTCTAAGGGAAATGGATTTGAGAGCAATGAGAGCTCAAAGTATCCCACACCCGGTGTGATTTGTGGTCAAAGAAATGAAATCTAACATTTTCCAACAAACACCCGGTCTCTGGAGGTCAGAAAATAATTTAAACATACACTACCATTTCAAAGTTTGGTCTCAGCATGATTTTTGTATTTAATAGTGCTGTCAAATGATTAATCGCGATTAATCATTTGACAGCACTAGTATGTAATTTAATACTTTTACTCAGCATGCCAAGGACTTATACTTTTATTAAGCAAGAATTGACAATTCTATTGATAATGTACTATAGAAAGAACTGGAAATAATGAGGAGGAGTAAAAGGAATGAAATCATGAAACATCCAGAGACGTCTTCAATCTTGCATATTCTGCATGAGCGCTAGGTCATAATGTTTTTGTATTTAGCCAAAAATGATTTGCACCAGGTTTTCAATTTTATATTAAGGTAGTGCAACTGTAGCTTGATTCGGTGGTGTAGTCGGTACCGGAGGAGAGAAGCTTCCGGCAGCAGGTGGCGTGAGCATTCAGAGCGGCCAGATGCAAAGGAAACATGCCATGTACTCCTCTTCTGCAGAGAAAGAATTAGCATATCAGAAACAACAAGAAATGATGATTTACCATGATTTTCAATAAATATCCAAGGACAGAGACAAACCTGGTGCAGTCAGCTCCACTTGTGATTAGAGTGTTTATTAAAAGTTCATGGCCATATCGAGCAGCGACATGCAGCGGAGTGTTTCCATCCTTATCGACACAGTCAATCTCTCCACCTGTATCAGAAACACACACTTGTACTCTCAATGTACATGCAAATCAGTCACAGGCTAACAGTAGGCTTTAAGCAGTCTAAAAACAGCTTTACCATTTTGGATGAGAGTCTGGGAGCGTGTGAATCGTCCATGAACTGCCGTCAGATGAAGAGGGCTTTTCCCATCACGACTCTGAGGAAACATCAGGAAATGTTTAGTAGCATAAAGCACACAGGGTTTGCACTGTCTGTCAATGTTTTGTCCTAGATGGACATACTTGGACGTTGACATCAGCTCCACTGTTGACCAGGAACTCCAGACACAGGGCACCGTGAGTGGACGCAGCAGCAAAGTGCAGAGGTGTGAAGCCCTTGTTATTCGGCTGACTGACGTTAGCACCGTAGTTGATCAGCTCACTGACTACTGCATCTTGTCCATTAAAGCAGGCCACATGCAGCGCTGTGTTCCCAAAGGCATTGGCTTCATCTATCTATGAGTAAAGCATATGATATAGTAAGCTCAAACTAGATGTTTTTCCCATGCTCCCTTCTCTATATGTATCTATTTGCATCCTGGGTACCTCTACAGCCAGGCTGAGCAGGCGTTTCACCACAGCGATCTGACCGTTGGAAGCAGCAGCGTGTAGAGGTGTGTATCCTCTCTTGTCCTTGCAGCTGATCTCGGCCCCTTGACTCACCAGTAAACACACTACATCTAAGTGACCTGCAGGAGTATGGAGAGAAGCTCATGAAAACATAAACACAAATAGTTCACCTCAAAATGAAAATTCTGTTAGTAGTTACTCTCTCTCGTGTCGTTTCAAACCCATATGACTCATTTCTGTAGAACACAATAGGAGCTGTTTTCCAGAATATTGACTCTTATCCATAAAACAAAATTAGAAAGTGTGAAGCTCCAAAAAGAAGAAAAAAGCACAATAAAACTCCATAAAACTATTCCATATGACTTAACATAAGTCTCAGCATAAGTCTTCTGAAGACATATGATAGTTTTTAGTGAAGAAAAAACAATATGAAAGTGCAAATACGATATTGCCAAATATTGATATCTAAATATTTTTTTGTTGATAAGGATAATTAAAAATATTTTGCTGAGTGTGTTTTTTTTTTTTTTTTGCTGGTAATTTGTTTAGGCCTGTTGTGGACAACTGACTCCCAAAGATTTTCATATTCTGTGCAGAAGTGATGGAAATTATTTCCAGGAGCATTTTAATCTTTACAGCAGCCATTTTTTTCAAACCTTATTAAATTTATGCATCATCTTTCATGTCAAATTCTTACATTTAATCAACAAATTTAATTAGAATAATAAGATTCTATAGGCTGTTACCAATCAAATGTAACCAGCACTAACAAAATCTATTTTTGCACTGCAGAGATGGCATCTGATTTGGCATTTAGATATCAGTGAATCATTCATTCAAATGATTTGTTCAAAAAAGCTGATTCATTCAAAATGGTTGATTCATTCAAAAAGCATATGACTGTCTTTATGAATGGTTTATGCACTCAAATGATTTGTTTAAAACACAGATTCATTCAGTAACAAAACTCTAAATAACTCTCTTACTCTCAGGGTGTGTTTTTGCAAAGTGAGTGCCATACTTGATAATGCCAACTTGCACATCATCAAAACAACAATTACAAAATTTCAGCAGATTATACATATCGTACATCCAAATTAGCATGGACTAATTTGATGTCCTTTTTGGAGCTTGGCAGTCCCCAATAACTATTTTTTGTATTGAAATGGAAGTAGGGTGAACAGCTCCTTTTGTGTTTCACTGGAAAAGACATATTGGTCAGAGTTTTTATAGGATTGTTCCCTCACCCATATATGCCGCCCAGTGCAGTGCACGGCAGTCTTTCTTGTCAAAGGCATTGATATTGGCACCCTTGGCCAGGAGAAGGCTAACCATCTGAAGAGAGAAAGTGGAAAGTGAATAACAGTGATAAGAAAGAGATAGAGAAATGGAGGAGAGAATGCTTGTATCCGCCTCAATAGGCAGTAAAGCATGAGTCAAAAATGCGTCAGTAATTTAATGTCAGTTTATATAGTCAGTTTATATAATGACTTTCTAAACCATTCTGCATTCTGCAAATTTCAAGTTATGTTGACAATGCAATGCAGCAAAATTAAGTCTGTATCAGTGGCCATGTGAATTTGTATATAAACCCTTCACTGTCTCAGTCGTTGAACTTGCAAACTGCAGTGAAATAAAATATGATCAGAGCCCTGCACATGACATGGAGGCAAAAATATATTTATTGTAGCCACGACTTAATTTGCTCTAAAGAATCAAGAATTTGTTCCCTTGCTTTATTCATTTTTTCCCTCATTTTAGTTCAACTGTGGCCACAATTTACTATTCGCCCTCTGTTTTATTTAAATCATGAACACAAATTAAAAATTCATTTCCACAAATAATGAATTTGTTCCCTCATTTTAGTAAATTGTGGCTTTTTTTTTACTAATTTGTTCCCTTGTTTTCATTCAATCAAAACCAGAGCATGAATTAGGACAATGTGGCCATGATTTACTAAAATGAAAAAGCTAATTAGTAAAACATGGCAACAATTTACTAAAACGAGAGAATGAATTTGTAATTTGTGGCTACGATTTAACTAAACACATTAATAAATATTATTAAAAAAAAATTGTTATTTGTGGCCACAATATATATATTTTTCCCGCGTGTCATGTGTGAGGCTCTGTAGTATTGCTATGTGCCAAGCAAAAATTTTTGGTTTCAACTTGCAGTACCTCTGTGTGCCCATTAAGGGCAGCATGGTGCAGGGCGGTGCGTCCCCCACGATCTGAAACGTTGACGCTGCTCAGGAGCGGGATGATGACCTCAGCACAGCGCAGAGCCTTGTTGGCGGCAGAGACATGCAACGGAGTCTGCCAGTTCTTATCCCGTGCGTTAACATCGGCAGAATGACGGATCAACACGCGAACGGCCTCCTAGATGTGTACAAAGCAAAACAACGAACTATATTGTGTACTTCAGGCCAGCTGGAATACGATTGACCAATCGGCATCCAGTGTTGGAAAAATCCTATTATAATCCCACAGGAGCTTCTGCATATGATTAGCATTGTTTTAAAGGCATCCTGCTATGTGACAACATTAAACAACATCTGTCTTATTCAAAAGTGAGTGCGTGTTGAACAACTAATCCTACCTCGCTACGTGATGCCACTGCCCTGTGTAGTGGAGTCAACCACATGTTATCTTTGGCATTGACCCGTGCCCCTACAAAGAAACATCAAACAATAATAACCTTAATAAATTTAGGGCTCTATATGCTGTATTTGTAAAGGGGTAGTCCACCCAAAAATGAAAATTCTGTCATCATTTACTAAAACCATCCTTTACATTCCATGACAAATAAAAAAAAACACATGGATTTGGAATGACATGTATAAATGATAACAGAATATTTATTTTTGGTTTAACTATACCTTTAATGGACTGGGTTTTGAACATGCATTTATTTTATAGGAGATGCTGTAAAGGTACTATGGAAGGGAGGTGGGAAGGGAGTGGAGGGAGAGAGAAAGAAAGAAAGCAGCTCTACCTGACACAATGAGGAGCTCTGTGATCTCAGCATCTCCGAGGAAGGCTGCTGCATGAAGGGGAGCTCGCTTCTCAGCGTCCTGAGAGAGAATGAAAAAAAGACAGCTGGAGAGTCAGACACATGGACAGAGAGGATGGAAAGATTGTTAAAAATGAAATCAAATCATGTCTATTAGCTTTGAACCCATCAATATGCTAGTGCACTCTTAAAAGCTGACAAGAATGTAATTGTTGTAAAATGTAAAATGTTGAATGTAATTTATTCCTGTGATGGTAAAGCTGAGTTTTCAGCAGCCACCTCTTCAGTGTCTTCAGTGTCACATGATCCTTCAGAAATCGTTCTAATATGCTGATTTGGTGCTCAAGAAACATTTCTTATGATAAGCGATGTTGAAAAATTTTGTGATGCTTAATATTTTTGTGGAAACCGTTGATAGGGTACATTATTTATTTTCAAAGGATACTTTGATGAAAGTTTAAAAGAGCAGCATTTATTAGAAATGGATATATTTTGTAATGTTATAAATGTCTCTACTGTAACATTTGATCATTCTAATGCATCCTTAATAAATAAAAGTATTCATTTAATTCAAATAAATTCTTACAGATGACAGACAATGGTTTATCCAAAAATAGACCAAATGTTCTACAACAACCTAACAAGAGCAAGTAACAAATCATATTTTGACAGCTGTGGCATAAACAAAAGGCTATTGGCTAATTAAAAAAATTTTTTTAAAAAGATGAGCCCTTCGATAGGACTCACCCCAACTTCCTGTTTCAATAGGAAATAGGCTACATCAACACTAGAAAGACAATTGTGTCAGTCAATCCATTGAATGTGGCATTTATTGTACATATAGTACAAAGTCACACTGTGGACTGCAGTTTTTGCAGAGAATTGGTCACTTCTGAATGCAATATGCTGATTGCCTGTCATTGCAAGCGATGCGATCCACAACAAAGAAGCATTGAGTGGCTCTTTACAATCACTGATGGAGATGTCAGTGTGTACTAATGTGCTCATACACTTTGCGGTGGTGACATCTCAACGTGTCCATTGTCTGAACCTGTTTGCACATGCAGCCTGAAATCATGACTTTGACCAGCGGCTCTATATAAAACATTCGGACAGCAAGCTAATTCTTGCTGGAGCCATTAAGACGGACACAGTGAGACAAGTAGAATAAATAAATATTCTGGAAGAAGAATGGCCCTGAAAACTGTTTTGTGTCCTGTTGCCTTTACTGAGACAAATGTATATAAATCTCTGGCTGTTGTCCATAGGATTACTCGACTATTGTGCTGCGAGAAACAAAGAGATGAGATCTAGTCGTGTGAGTAGAAGAATAAAAGAAACTGATCCATACCAGTGCATTGACATCTTCTGATTTACATATGAGCACACGAATCTCATCGGGGTCTCCATTAAAGATGGCTTGGATGAGGGGTGGCTGTGAAAAACAAGAGATTATTTAAACATGGATGGTATTAAGGAATAAAAGCATGAAGCATCACTGGTGCTATTGCTCAAACTTAAATCAACTGTATGTAAGATTTTTACCTTTAAATATCAGTTTCAATATCATTCTGAAGTTCTAATAAGGTGAATGGCTTCTGTTTCTTTCCCACACTCTTCCTCAAACGTCTGTTCTGGGAGTTATGTAAATTTAGTGAGCAGGTACGAAATTATGCGAAAAGGGTGGATTGCTTTACAGTAGCAACAAATGCTAATGTACAGCTATCGACTGTAATTACGACAGTGCAATCCATTCACTTAACTGTAGGGGGCTCCAAAGTTGCAAAAACACACAAAACTGCATACCGTTACTTTATGGTGTGGATACATTTACTGTTGTTCGGCAAATTCTTATGGACAAAATCCAGTCATTTCTGTAGAAATTCTTGTAATCGGGAGCAAAAGATTTAGTTCAAGTAAGTAAAAGTAAAGCAAAAGTTCAAGTTGTTAAAGTCACTTCTGTGTGGGCTGTGCTTCATACATTGCTACACTACAGATAACGGAACTTTCTTTCTCTAATGCGACTGCACCTTTATGGTAACAGATTTGAACAAACCCCAAATGCTAGCACCCACCCAGAACACCCAAGAAACCACCCATTAACACCCTAGCAACCGCATAGGAACACACTAAAAAAACCACACAGAACGCTTTTGCAACCATACAACAACATCCTGGCAACCACCATAGCACTGTGGCGGAAAATTATGCAAAAGGCAAGCGCCACATTTTCATCAGAAAGTATACAGACTTACAGAGCTACAAGAACCCTAGATTATCCTTGTGCTGATTACATAAACTTTATGTTTTATATCTTTGGAATAATTTTGTCATTCAAATTATCAGTTCTTGAACCAGTTTCTCAGCACAAATCAGACAACTAGGCAGCAAAACCACACAACCTTCACCATTTCCATGGCGTCATTACAGGGAGGCCAAATCGAGGCCCAAAGAACCCCAAGGAAGCTTTGCACCACACACTGTGGTCATTAAAGTCATGTTTCCTCTATGTAATTATCATCTTCAGTCCTTGTTTATGCAGCAACTAAAGACTAAACTAATACCAAATATATTTATAAACTGTATTTTGCCAGCTATTTTCTGAAATTCAAGTGCCAAGCTTCATATATTTATATGGCAGCGCATTGAAAACCATGATAATCCGACACATGCGTGGGATTAGAGAAGCATAACAACACCGAGGTGGTTTGAGCCAAACTTGGCTGCATCTAAACTTCCAGTGTCTCTATCTGCAATGACCCCCACATCTCACTTCCTGTTGCTCTTTTTCACCTTCTGGCAGCGCATTGAAAACCATGATAATCCGACACATGCGTGGGATTAGAGAAGCATAACAACACCGAGGTGGTTTGAGCCAAACTTGGCTGCATCTAAACTTCCAGTGTCTCTATCTGCAATGACCCCCACATCTCACTTCCTTTTGCTCTTTTTCACCTTCTCAGAAGCGACACAGAGGAAGCGTGGAAAGCATTTTCACTTCCGCTATACAACAGAACACATGCAGGCAGGCCAACATGCAAATGAACACACAGGCTTCAACGGTAAGGACAGAGATTGTAAAGAGAGGGATGGACTTTTAACATATTACCGGTATATCAGCATACTTTGTAAACCCCATATGAATTTATATCTGCAAAAGAGTCACATTATGGCTTTTTTGTGAAGACAAGTTCATGTTTTATGAAAAATTTCAAAATATGTTTCTAAGAATAGCTTCTTTCACTATGACTTTCTCTTTAATATGCACACATACAAACAAACTCTCAGACAACAGGAGATGTGTTGTTGAGATCTGCTCTATTTTCAGCTGCAGAAACAGGCTCTCTCACACCCACTCACTTCAAACTCATTTCATCATCCATAAAAAACGATCTCTGCTGTGCCAATTCGCCACAAGCCATCATTCATTTTTTGTTAGTCATTTCAAGTTACTCAGCTCTCTAAAAGAACCAATGGCTGAACAATTTCATGAATTTTTCTTTTCATGCATCTCACCATACCATATATCATTTCATTAATGAGACCTCTTTACAATCTCAATCGTTTCTTCTATACAGCAAATGCAAATCAAGTCTCCTGCTTGTTCCAATAATCTCATGTGCCTCCTCTAGAGATTAGGGCTGGGCGATAAATTGATAACAATAATTATCGCAAAATAATTTTCCATGATAAAATGATAACAAGAGGTTGATAAATGTTCAATGTAATTTTTATGCACCAAAAGCAGAACGAAAGAGTGCTAGTTATTTGAATTGTGTCACATGGACCGTTTATCCACTCAAAGTTCAAACTATTATCTCAAACTAATATCACTCATTAGAACATGCAAAAACTAACAAATACATTTTTCTATTAAGATATTTATATTGTTAAAGATGCAGTCCATACGTTTTGCCTCTTTGTCGCCATCTCTGTTTGAAAACCTGGAATTGCAGCAGTGTGCGGAATTATCTAGCTTGCGTGGGTTGTGAGCAGAGCATGTGAGCGAAGGCTCCGCTACGTTTTCCACTCTATGGACGTGCGCTCCACTCAGTCGCTCTAACCGCCCAAGCAAGCGCTCCGTTAATATTCCGCTCACGCTCGCCGTAAACCAATTCCCGCTCCGTCCTGTAAAGAACAAATTTGCGTGCATTGAATTATTTATTCACATTAAAGTTAACAACATCAGCATTGGTGACTATGAGTATAGTGTGTATTAGCGTGTAGATTTAAATTTCTGCACAGACTAATCTAATTATCATACTCTTGTATGAAATTCTCATATTAATAAATTCTTTTAACCCAAAAAGCTAATGATGCTCCCTTCGAACTGGATTTCTTTCAAATACAAATCTTTGTAATACCAGCCTATCTGTAATCAGAAGCACATTTATAACTGGAATATAATTTAATTTCATTCACATGTGTTTCATAAACACATAATCCTTTCTGGATTACAATCCGCCATCAAAATGTAGTTTTGAACACTGGCTGGTTATGTACTTGCTCAAATATTGATTTCGGATCATTTTTAACCAAAAAAAGATACGGACTGCAGCTTTAAGGAAAATTAATGGTCTGGTTTTTTCACTTTCACTTTGGAGCACAAATCTGGCTTTAAACTTGAAAGAAATAAAGACTTGACTTTTATCATGATAATTATCGATATGGATTATGGACTGATATGAAAAAAATGATCATGATAATTTTTTTGGCCATATCACCCTACTCGAGATTAGGGATGTAACGATTAACCGCAAGCCGGTTGAAAATCGATTCAACAGTAATATGCAAGTGCTATATTAGTATATTATTATAGTATTATATTTCAATTTCACAAAAAAATGTGCAGCATTTTGTCCAAGCAATAATAAAAGGACACATTTAATTTATAATTTGTCTTAAATCTAATTTTATTAAAAAAATTATAATAATCGTGAATCGAATCGTGAAATCAAAACCGTGAATCGAATCGAATCGAATCGTGAGTTGAGTGAATCGTTACATCCCTATTCGAGATTCATAAAATGTTGCAAATTTGTCAAGACAAATTTGTCAGATAAAGATAAAATTGTCAGATATTTGATTTTGAATATGACATCAAACATTTTACCAGATTATTTAGCAATGTGAAGCATAAATCTTTTAGATCCGTATGCTTCAGGTGCCATCACAAATTAGTGAGAGTTCAGTGACTTGTTGCATAAAAAAATCTCTTGTCAACGGTGTAGTGTTGTATGAAACACTTTCAAACAAAGCAGCTTTCTGTTGGTCAATGGGAGAATTTGCGTGACAAACTTGTTGCGAAATCTGCTTGGGGAAACCTTTTGCCTTCTCGCAAAATTCCAGAATGTTAGACCTCCTACTGAAATGACAGAATTTTGTCTGTGAAATGTCCTGATTGCATGGATTCTTATCAAATTGGCCCGGATTCCACTCATAAAAATTACCGAACAACTGTAAATTTAGCCGCACATTTAGGCCTACTATGATTTGTCTCAATTCACTTGTTTCCTTTTATTTCTCTCAAGACATTTGAGAAGAAACAAGTCTAAGGTGAAACATCTCCTGAGCATATTCTAGGCTAATATACTTTCTTAGGGGATATCATATTAAAATTATTTTCAATAAATAGTTCATCAGTGAACCCCCAGGATTCCTTCTCTTGGTGACATATTTAAATCAGCAGAATTCACAACAACAACCTTCAATAAATTAATAGAAAACCAAATGTTTACATTTGCAAGGCAAATAAAAATCACATGCACAAGATCAGGAATGTAAAATAACACAGAACTGGCACTGGGCCATCCTTATTGAGCTCTTTTATGAGAGCATTGAATCTATGAGGATACAATGTTGAATTCTCTCGACTATGAGATATTGCCTCTGTCTGGATCGCATGAACAACCACACAGCTCTTCTCTCACTGGAAAGAGAACACAACAGCTGGTGACAACAGTGCCGTCTGTGTTATGGCACTGCAAAGCTTGGGGACGAGATTGCTGAGCGCTGGCACAAGCAGGGATCTGGACACAGCTCATCACAAATGAGGACATTCCCCGACCTCCCAGCACCGCTCCATGCCAAACTCTCAAACACTGAAGCCATTGTTGACATGCATTAGGCTACACGACCTCCTCCCCCCAACTCCCAGTCCCCTTGTCTATCACTACGGCCAATAGAAGTGAGCCAAACTTCATTCTGAGCCAATGAGGGCTGGGGGTTTCTTCACTTTTGACAACTGGAGCACTGCAGGCTCTTCTTCAAAACAAAGCAGACTGACTCCTTAAGAATCATGAGTCTAAAATGAGGAACTGCCGATGTCGCACAATAAATGAACTGCGAAACTGAAATCTAGTTCCTTGTGACAGCATTTTTTTCCCCTGATGTTTAAAGTCAGCATGAAATGGAAATTTGCCCATGCATAGGTTATTACATTTTTTAAACGTTTTTTGACCTTGTAAAATGTAATCAATATAACAGAACTTGATCTTCTGGTGAAACAACAGACTTCTCTCTGCTGACGTACAACGGACTTCTCCAAACATTTAGTCCACTTAAACATCCCCTTTCTTACAATTGACTGCAAATTCACATTCAGATCTGCCTCCATCCAAACAACAACTGATAGATTAGAACCAAAACGTTTTTTTTTTTCCTTTTTGAAAATCTCACTCATATGTCCATCACAACATTGAAGAAAAGATCTGTTGCTATTTCATACATCACAATTTTTGATAGACCATGCATTCTGCAAATCATCTGATTTAGGGGTTATATAGAGTTTGGTGAACAAGCTCTAAAACACTCTTCTGGATAAAATCTAAACTGAAAATATCTAAACTTTGTTTTCTGAATGGTAAAAATAAAATATGAATAGTGTAAAACCCTAACACTGTCATGAAGTGCATAACAGAAGTATCTAAAGTCTTACGATGACTGATGTGTAAGCCGTAAGCATACTATCCTCTATTTCCTCTCTATATCTTGTGTGCTCTGAACTTGTGTCATGTAACCCTCCGAGACTACGAAAAAGCATGAGAGGGGAATGTTGAGATTCAACAACTTCCTGTTCCTTTCCTCTTTGGGGCAAAGTATGGAAATCAAACTGTACACAAGACCAAAATGACCGTAAACATTACTGCACTCAGAACACTTAGTGTCACATATAAACTTCTACAAAATAAATGTCCTGGGATTAATGCAAGTAAAACTTTTTGGGGCATGGTGTTAACACACCAAAAATAATTTCAACTTGTGTCTTGGTCTGTAAAAACAAACAAGACATGCATTTACATTAATGCACTTTTAGTGGAAGTCTAAGCGGCAAGACACTGCTTCAGTATAAACGTTAAAATACAAACTGTTTTTATTGCCACAAGAGTTTCCAACAGTATATGCTTGTGATGTTCCTCATTTGTAGGGTGCTTTGGATAAAAGTGTCTGCTAAATGAATGAATGTAAAATTTAAATATGTGTTAAAGCACTATCCAGTCTTTCAACTCCTGTCATGACAGAGAAAAATCCACTCACTTAAATAAATGATTTCTGTATACCTGAAGCACAAAGTACATTCACTTAGAACAGTAGTCCCATCACTAAAGATTGATATTGATCAATAGTACAAACTTTCTGATGTTAAGTCAAATGGGATGATCCCCTTGTGAGGGACCCCACTGAAGGCAGCTGCATATTTTTATGTATAAAAATTAATTATTACTGTGTAAAGAAAATATACAATTTAATATTATTAAAACTGCAAAATAAATTTATAGTTTCCTTTCTAAAATTAAATAATTGGCCTTTATATCATCATTATACTAAAACAAATTGTTACAAATATTTCAGTTAAATATTTATTTTTTATTAAGTTGACAGCATATCTGAGATGAACTTTTTCCCATAAATATTTTTATTTTAGAAAAATATTAGGACAAAGAATAAACTATGAGAAAAACTAAATATATAAAATTACTGCAATTAATGACATTTTGGAACAGTCTTTAGGAAATATTATTCAGTTCAGTAAATGTAAAAATAATGACTTAAATTAAATATACTTGATTAATATCATGCATTTGTATACACACATTTTCTATGAACAAATTAATTAATTAGTGCTCTATCAAAGATATGAGCTGCACACTTCTTTTAAGCCCTCTGGAATCTCTTGCCCTTTTTGCAAATGCATTACTGTACACACATTTTTTGTTTGTTATTACAAATTTAGGGACGAGTTGGCATTTTCTGTGGCAATCAACAACATGAAGCTGTCCATGGCTGCACTTGTTATATAAGATATAACATATATATATATATATATGTTGTTGAATAAGAAACATTGCTTCAACCATATAGTGCAAAGATTTAGTAGACTTTTTAGTCTCTACAGTCTCACAGCTGAAAAATCTTCTCGACCCTGACATGAAGTCCATGGGGCCCCTGATTGACATCGAGTTACTTGTTGCAAGGACAACTCCCTAGAATATTTGCAATAGTGTCTAGATATGACTGCATCACATGACCGTTAGGGAAATACAGGTCTACTGTACTGAAAAACTAAACGTAGACTAAACTAAACTAATTATTAGTGGAGGTGACAAGTATCAAAAGGTGTAACATATAATTTCAAGTTCGTGAAGTATAGTATTAACATTCAAAATATCACCAATGAAAATCAGATTACAATGAATTCAGTCTTTTACTAACTAGAAAAACTACATTGCAAACACAAAAGTTTAATGTGAAACTAAATTATTGTTACTGTCACAACAAACGTTTCAAATAAGTGAACAACAACAGTGATGTTTGTGAGAAAAGGAATTTGACTATCTGAGCTTTAACTGGGTGGAGCTCAACCATATATGTTGGTATGCAACTTACACTAGTCAGTTAAAACAGAAATCTGACTAGGTGTGCTGATAATGATATGAATTTGGGATGTTTTCTTCAAAAAACTTGTTATGGTGTGCAGATTAGATTTAGGAGTCATATCAACATCAGCATCATGCACACTCCAACAGAGAGCAGGAAGTTTGTTCTCTCTAGATGAAAGCAGATCATTTTCCTTACACAAATTATGCAATAAATGAGAACAACACTCACTTTGTTACTCTACTCTATCTCACTTAAATATAAACGACATTCTTACACTGGTGTTGATAAAACACATATTAATAATCATACACTAAAAAATACCTACTTATAAATCATTTCCAAAGTAGAATCAGATTCACGACTTGCACAAATTGCACAAGTAGCTGTTTTTGACTTTCAGGAAAACAAGAATCTTCCAACAAGATCTATTATGTCGTTTAAGCAAAATGCGTGACAGCAGAAACAGGCATGAGCATATAAAACACACTTGTATGTGCTGTCATGAATCATACGGTTTCAGCTGCAACCACAGCCTATATATGGAGTATCATATTCTGTATTTTGTGCATTCATTGAAAATGACATTTAATCGTGGGCAAATCCCTCAGTTTCATCCAAGCAGCATGCCATCCTCCAAATAAACTGATAATTTTGCAAACAAAAACATGCGTTTAAAAAAAACGTATGCAATTACCTGGTCGACTAGTTTAAGAACAGCCATATCATGTGAAACTGCACATCCAAACTCCTGAAAAGACCTGGAGGTGAAGATGAATAAAATCCAGAAGTGGCTGTGCGCTTTTCTTCACGGAAGAATGATGCTGCACAATGAGCTTGCTTCCTGCTTTGCTCTGGATGGCACCCTCCAGGGGCCCGGGGTGATGTGACGGCCGTGGCCGGCTCTGCAGGCGCTATCTTCGGTCAGCGGGAGCTGCTGTAGCCGCTGCCTCGCCACCAGCGCTCCGGCGCTCCGGGAAAGAGGAAAAGGGGAGGGAGGAAAGGATGCGAGGGCTGCTGTAAACAATCCGCATTTACAGCAGTGGCATCCACAGCGATACCGTTTTCAGATATTATAACCCTCTCGCTTATGTTCTGCGTAACGTATTCATTCGTTAAAAGAAAATACAGGAAGTCAGCGTTTGTCGTATGCTTCCCCCGCTTCCTCGATAATTTCGTAATCATACTATGGCGAAGGCGTGGCTTATGAATATTAATACGGTACCCAACTTTTCAACCGATTGGCTGAAAGGCAGACGCTGTCAGAGTGGGCGCTGTTGTGATGACCAATGAACGATCGCTACTGCGGATTTATAAATTAACTACTGTTTCGTGAATATAAAATTAGGATGTGTGACTGGATGCTTCGAGAAGATTAGGAAGGAACCTGTTTTTTACAGTCTATGGAAGGAACGCCATCGCAACCTAATTAATATTCATGAACTATTGCATCACCATAGTAGGATTCGTAATTTCGTTTCCCCCTCTGTATCTGATGCACAGGATTGTCAGTTCTTCCGAAGAGCCATCATCATCGCCTCACGATGCCCTCGCTAGTCTGACGCACGAATGAATCATTCTAATTAATCTGTTGTGTTTAATGATTCGGTCACAGTGAGCGATGACTCCAATACGTGAATCGTTTTGTGAACCGAACTATCGGAGCTAACTGATTCGCTAAAATGATTCAGTACGCTAACCTTCTCTGATTACTCATAGAATACAGATATCGCATCTTTCAGAGTATATATATATAGGTTTCTTAATTACAATTGAAATAATACATTACTTATAATAATGTCAAAAAGTATTCTCTTTGTAGCTTGTTCAAAGGTAATGAGAGATATACTGTATTGGCTGTATACTGCCCAGCAATGTCCTAACATAATGCTTGATGAATACTAATTATTTAAAAAATGCAATTTAGTAAGATTCGATTAATTTGAAATTCGATTTTCTGTCAATGATTAAAAGCAGATAACATAAGTGTTAAGGTCAGGAAGCATTGTACGGTTTATAACGGTCACATTTATTTGGCAAAAGTTCATGCTGAACCCTAGGATTTACATTTAGATGGAATATTGCAATTTGCCACTATAATGAAACGAGCTTTTAAAACTTTCATTTTTGTTTATTTGCTGCTGTTCTATATTTGTCTCATTGTCTGTACAGTTAATAAATGACAGCTCTACATTCTTAAAGAAATGGAAAACAGGAACTTGCCCACAATGTCCCTGGAAGCAAATATCAGTTTGTTTGTCCTTTGCTGGATGACATCACCTAACAGACTGTCTGTGTGTGTGTGTGTGTGTGTCTGCTTGATACAGAAGCTATATTTAAAAAGGCATGAGTTTGGGCTGATGGGTAAAAAGGAGACCATGGCAAGTGGCTGTTGCATATGCACTGTTTACACAAGAGGATATACTATAAAGTACACATTTTAATATTTAATGAAAACTGAGAGGTTCAAGTCAATTCAAACACATTCCAGGACATAGTCCAAAATGTAGTTTTCTAGGCAAACGGCTTTAGCTCTTTTTTAAACTTAACAGCCAAGGACCACTGACAAAGCAAATGTTCAAGAGAATATTTTCAAGATTGTCAAGATCAGCACAAGCACTGCATTCCAAAATAAAGCAGCCCATTGACTTCATGGAAAAAGTGCAAATATTATCTGAAAGGGTGGATGTAAAAGTTATAAATGTCTGAAAATCTCTAAAGTATGGCCTCACGTTGTTTCAGCCTGAGAAACTCCAGGACCCTCATGTTTGTGTAAAATCACAAATGACAATCTTCCTTTTACATCTTCTGTTGTGTCTAAGCAGAATGTGGGAAATAACCAAACAATATCTCATATAATGAATGCATTAAACCCAAGATCCTTCCTTGGGTTTAACATGCATTGTACGACAGGTAAAAGCTAGAAATATTCTGATTAAAAGGTCTTCTTAGTTCACACTGCAGCCCAATCTGATTTGATTTTCAAATTTCCAGTCAATTTAGCTAATTTTGAAGCTTGATCGTTTTTTTTTTTTTTTTAGATTACATTTGATAGGATTTTAATACTGAAAGTGTAGATAGAATAAAATCAGGATTACTTTTAGTTGTGCTACACAGATCAAACAAATGACAGGAGACCAATGACTTTTAATACACAAATGTTTATTCAGCCAAACTAAGCAACATTATAATAAGAACAGATGTGAGAGAGTGGGCTTGACAGATCAGGACACAAGTCTCTAATTAAAAGAATTACTGAAGATAAATCACATTCCTCAGAAACTCTGCTTCTATATTTACTGTCACTGTGCATGGTGCCAAACAGAAACGTCTAATCCAAAGAGCAAAAAGCGTCACATTTAACATTCTTTTTTTTAATAAGAAATAAATTTTAGGCCACAGAATTTGTGGTACTGGTTGTAACCTACCAGAGAACATAAAAAATGGACCAAGTCCTATAAACCATGAATTAGACAGATATAGGAGAAAAGAGAGAGTGCACATGTAAGGGTAGTTATATTCACACGAAGTACTCCAGCTCACAGCGAACGTATGAGTTCTTCTCATCATTGTAGACAAGAGGATAATGTGCGATCAGTGCATCCTGGGAGCCGATATAGATGGAGTTGTAGATCTTCCAGTACACATCACGCACTTTGCGAGCAGGATGGAACAAACCCTATTGAGGGAGAAAAAAAACATTGGGCCATTAGATCTTTACAAGTCAATGAAAAAAAAAAAAAAACATTATATAAAGTGTGCAGATTCCATGCTGGAAGAGTAAAATGTACCTGCAAGCAATACTGCAGCATGCGGCAGGGTCCAATTGCCACCCGCAGACCCTCAAGGGCCCCCATGACAGCTTGGATAACATGAGGGGACGTTTCGAATACATTTGGCCAAACATAGTTGAGCAAATGATTGAGAGAATCTTCACAGCCAAAGCCATACACTCCCAGAGACATATGCTGCACCACAGCACTGGCTGTCTGCCTGTGTACAAGATCCCTGCAATGGAGAGCAAATACAGAGTTACAGAGGCCTACTGAAAACAAACTGCATGTTTTAATTGGTAACTCTCTTGTGAAAATCAGTCATTCTTTTCCCAGCTTACCTGTCCATCAGAGCATCCTCCAACAAAGGTGTGACGGCATAGATGTAATCTTTGCCCATTTCACCGATGTACTCGAACAGGAAGGACAGAGACTTTAGGACACCGTTCTGAACGTTAAGTTCAGGAACACGGTACTCGTTCATCAACGCAGGAAGCACGGTGAACGGCGAACATGTCTCGGCCACGATAGCGATGGCTACCGTTGTGCACACACGGTTCTGACGTTCCTGCACCTTCAGATTGTTGAGCAGCGTGGCCAGCACATCGTGAGGACTAGAGATTTAAGAACAGAAATTAAAAATCAACATTTTCAAACCTGACACATTCTGCATTGCTGAGAAGGATTTTGTGTTTTACCCAATGGCCTTGGCGATGTAGCCGAAAGTATTGACAGTAGCTCTGCGGATGGCCTTCTTGTGGGCTTTCAACAACTCTAGCAATTCAAAACAGATGCGCATCCATTCCCTGGCAGACACATACTCCGCACCCCTGCAAAGGACACAATGATGTGTTTAGGAGGCATTATCAGAATATTTCAAATGTTAATAGCTCGAATTCTGCAGGGAACTGTAGAACTGACCTGTCAGCGATTCTGCCCACTAGATCAATGCAGTTCTCCTGCACCTTCTCATGTCTGTTCTTCAAGATTGGAGTCAAACGTGGAAGCAAGTCTTTGATAGGTGGTGTCATCTTGTGCATACCTGCCAACGGGATATTTACATACTTAATTATACTCAAAAGAAAGCAAAGCAGTAGAAATAACTCAAATATATGATGCACTGAAATGATTTTTAAGGATTCCAAAATAAACGTCAATCAGAAAAAAAATTTTTTTTGCTGTTCTGGCAGAGTATTTTTGGTTGTACAAATGTACAAACAAATGTAGAGAAGAAAACTGCGGCAAAGTTGAATACTTAAGAGTTAGGGCTTAGATGCAATAGCAAACACCAGTAATGAAGCACTTTGACCGACACTCACCAATAACATTGACAATAGCTTTAAGGGCTCCAAGAATGCTACCCAGCACTTCTGGGTATTCTTCTCCCAGATACTCATACAACACCACACCCAAATGGCCCATCAGCTTTTCCTACATGGAAATATAAAAGCAAGATATATATTAGTAAGCAGTATCAGTATTTTGTTTAACCAGTCCATAAATGTACATAATGCGCCCCTCACCTCTTGGCATGTCTTCATGACCACCGCTGTGCGAGAAATCAGGTCAGCAGCCTGTTGACGGACTTTGGCAGATTTGTTGTTGAGACGCCACAGCACTGTACCGCAGATCTGAGGCAAGTATGGTTTAACTCTCTTACCCAGAGCATTTACCACCGTGCCAAAGCCATTTAGCATTACAGAGTCCTGGAGATACAGGCAAGATTATGATGTAAGATGATCATATAACAGCAGTAGGATATTTAACATGCAGCAAAGTCCATAACTCACCTCAGTGGTCTGTTCCTGGAAGGCGTACAGGATTCCATCAATAAGCTGCTCCTCCAGTTTGTGATCGATGTCAGCGGCACCAAGGTTGCCCATAATTTTCTCAATGGTCTCCATGACCATTTTTCTGTACTGCTCAGCTTCATCCTTCAAGTCATCCACGATACGGGAGATAATCTCAGCTGCCCCTACCTTATTGGCCAGTTCCACTGTAGTGTCCACTAACTGTTATACAAATAAAAAGACAAATGAGATTAAATGCATATTACTCATGGTTAACGTTACTTCTAATTATCTGATGATCTCACATACCTGTCTGTAGTTGCGCCTATCTAATGCCATTCTGTGCTGCCAGAAATGTTTGAAGAAAGGGGGCAAAATCTCTGTTTTAATGTAATTGGCTTCCACACCATCTGTGCCACAGCACTGCTTCACCACCTGGAATGTACAAGAAGAAAAAAAGAAAGTTTAGCCTAAAATGTTTTAGAAAGATTACATTTTTAATTCTTCTGAATAGTTTTTAATGCACCTTGAGGACAATCTTCTTCATTTCCTCGTCAGGTGACTGGAACTCTCGAATAAGGATAAGCATCACTTCTCT